GAGGAATTCTGGGAGTTGAAGTCCACACATCTTCCAGTTGCCAAGGTTGAGAAACACTGGTATAGATACACAAAAACTCACCTTTTTCCTGCTCTGCCTGGACAAGCAGGTTCTCCTGAAGGTCCTGGTGCATGAAAACCCCGATGCCCATCAAACGCACCCTGGGTTTTCCATTCGGTTCTGCTCGGAGAAGCAGGAAAGCGGTACATTTCTGACCTGGCTGCCTTAAAGTGTGAACATTAAAAAAACAGCAGATTCCAGAAACTGGATCAAACTGGCTAGAGAACATCCCTGGTCACGGGTTGCGTCTGACTGGTCCCGTCCTCTTGCACGGGGACCCCGTGCCACGAGAGAAGGCGAGTCTCTCGGACGGCTTCCTCCGCATCTGCACGTGGCGCGGGGATCGTGGGGAATCCAGTGGATCTCCTCTCTTTCTCGTGGTTCTGCAACTTTTGGGAGCCACCACCATCTGCGGGATCTGGCGGCTTTGGGCAAAATAATAAAAGCAGCAAGCACTTCTAGGTGCCCGTGCAACATCATGATGCGCGTGCAAAGGGGTGGGGCTTGATTTTGACAGTCTGGCCCCGCCCCCGGGACACCAGCGCTTTAAGTAAAGCAACCAAGTCCATATTTTGTAAGGGTTTCTCATCAGGAAAGGCCACCCAACTCATTCCTCAAAGGTTCCCATTTAATTTTCGGGGAAGTGTCTTGCTGGGAAGCGATGCCTGGACTTGGGATGTGAAGGGTACAAAAAAGACCAGCCCAGTTTGAAATTTCAAGGGGTTGTGGCACGACAAAGCTTGAGAACCCATCAGAATGGCTGGCGGGGCCGTGACTCGCTGTATTTTTTATGTGGGTTGGAATAATACGGCTTTTTTAAAACGTAAGTTGTTGACCATTTGGATGTTTCCCATATATAAAAAAAGAAGAAGAAAAAGAGTGAAGGAGCAAGCAAAAAATGAAAAAAGCAAAAAGTTGATACAGAAATACAATATCAGTGAATGGGCAAATGTTCAGTGAGTGCTCAGTAAATATTGTTGATAAGATATTAACCATAAAAAACAAAGCGCATTCAATTATTTTAACAATGTGAGAAAGGATTTGAATCTCTGAGCTGAGCGCCGCTGTTGGCTGTTTAACACACAAACAGAAAAAGAAGAGGAAAGACCACTAAAAACATGATCAGTAAATATTAGTTCTCACTTCCCCATTGTTGTATTCTGACAAACGTACAATAGTTATAGGCGTTTAAATTTTTTCTGGGTTTCTAAATTCAATTCCAGAACGTTTCTCCTTTTGAAGTGCTCACCTGGGCAGAAAAACTGGGTCCCGACACAAACTCAGCCCTTTTTATCCCTGCAGGGCAACGTTACGCACAATACTAAGGGGCGGGGCTTGCCTCATGACATCACAAGGCACGTTTCATCATTTTTCAGAACTAAGGGGCGGGGCTTGTAGCATGACGTCGCAATGCACGTTTCATCGTCGTGATGAAATCTCTGCTCGGGGCGGGCGCTTCTGGCTAATTACCCGTCGGGGGGCATAATTGCGATATCTTCTTCCTTTCAGGCACTTCCATAGCATGGAAGCGTTCAGCAACTATGACCTCCTGGGTGCCGCCTCCCGTGAGAAGGTGGCCGAGGGCCACAAGGCCAGTTTCTGCCTGGAGGACACCACCTGCGACGCGGGTGTCCGGCGACGCTACGCCTGCACAGCTCATGTTCAGGTGTGCTTTTGCCCAGCTTGACCTGCCTACCTCAGCAAGCGAAGGTTACGGTCCAGCTGCCATCTTGACTTTTTTTACCCCCCCCCCCCCAGCAGATGCCCCCAATCCCCACTTAGTTTTTAAGTACGTTTCTGCGGTAAAAAATAAAAACCATGCTTTGGAAGGGTTCTAAAGTTATAAGGGAAATTAACCCTAGTCCTAAGCGAAGCCCTTTTGCATCGGGGGAGGCCAAAAAGTCAAGAGGGTGGCCATAATCGCATTAAAAACTAGCACCTATGACACTCTTACTC